GGGAGTTCCTGTGGGTCCCAGTGGCCTGGAGCTCCCGGCCTGCAGGACGCGCGCCGTGACCTCTGACCCCGCCGCTCCCTGCAGTTCCTCCGCATCTGCGCCGACCTGTTCCGCCTGGTGCCCTTCCTGGTCTTCGTCGTGGTGCCCTTCATGGAGTTCCTGCTGCCCGTCGTGGTGAAGCTCTTCCCCAACATGCTGCCGTCCACGTTCGAGACCCAGTCCATCAAGGTGCTTCGGGCGTGTTCCTTCGCGGTGGCCACGCCCGCGGGGGGTCGCCTTCTCTTAGATGTGTTTGCAACATGGTTGCTCTGGACCCGTGTCTTCAAGCCGGGCTGAGACCATTCGTGGGGTGGGATGCGGGCCAGCCCCCAGCCGTGCAGGCCCTGCCTGTTTCGGTCAGGGAGGTCTTGTGGGGACACGTGCCCAGCCGGGTGTGGACTCTGCCAGCCCTGCTCTGGGTGGCACAGTGGGAGGCAGGAGCTGGAGGGGACGCTCCAGCCCCGCTCGTCGGGGAGGGTCTGGGCAGAGGATAGCGCCCGTCTCTGCCCCGCAGGAGGAGAGGCTGAAGAAGGAGCTGCGGGTCAAGCTGGAGCTGGCCAAGTTCCTCCAGGACACCATTGAGGAGATGGCCCTGAAGAACAAGGCGGCCACGGGCAGCGCCACCAAAGACTTCTCCTTGTTTTTCCAGAAGGTGCCCTGATGCCTCGGAGCCCCTGTGGCCTCAGCCCACTGTCCTTAGTGCTGGTTAGAGCCTCGGGCCACCTGCCTTCCCTGGGGAGTGGTCCTCATTGCCATCCTCCCTTTTTCTACTGTAGCAGCAGGGGGCGCTCCTGACCCCCCTCCCCGGGCAGGCGGGCGAGAACTTGAACCCGCTGACATTCAGTTACTTGTCTCTGCCTCCAACTTTGCAGCAGCCCCAGGAGAGGGAGAGTTTGGCAAATGAGGAACCTAAGACCCTGCAGTGTGACAAGCGGGGGGTGGGCAGGGGAGAGGATGGACCACAGGCTGCTCCACAGCCATGCCTGAGGTGGGGAGAGAGTGGCAGGGCCTCCTTGCCAGCAGGGGGAGGCCGGGCCTCTTCCAGTCGCCAGCCTACCCCCCGGGCTGGGCTGCCCTCAGGGTTGAGTCTTAGGGGCTGTTCTGAGGTTGTGCCTGATAGTCCAGGCAGTCCACCTCCCCCAGCTCCCGGTCCTCCTCATTTCCTCACTTGGGGCGAGTGGCCCCTGGGCCTGGGAGGGGTGCTGCCGAGAGACCGGGGAGAGACCCAGCAATGAGGAAATCATTCGTTTCTCCAAACTGTTTGAGGACGAGCTGACCCTGGACAACCTCACGCGGCCGCAGCTGGTGGCGCTGTGCAAGCTGCTGGAGCTGCAGTCCATGGGCACCAACAACTTCCTGCGCTTCCAGCTCACCATGCGGCTGCGCTCCATCAAGGCGGACGACAAGGTGAGCGGCGGCGCGAGGTCGGCCGTCCTCGTAGCAGGGGTGGCGTCGCTGGTGGTCTGTCAGCCTCCCGTCTCGGCTGTGCCCACCTGGTGGGCACGTGGGTGCTGTCTGCTGGGATCAATGATACTGGGATCGTGCCGTCCACGTGACTTCCCACCTGGCGTGGCATCGGATCTTCCCGTGTGGCCTAGTGCTCATTGGGAAGGTGCGTTCTAATGCCTGGCTGACGCTTCCTCGATGAGTGCATTATGTTCGTTACTGTAGCCAGTCTTTTGCTACCTAAACAACACTCCAATAAGTTTCTTTTTTTTAAGTTCGTATATTCTTACTGATTTTAGAGAGAGGAAGGGGGAGGGATAGAGAGATAGAAACATCTATTGGCTGCCTCCTGCACACGCCACACTGGGGATTGAGCCCGCAACCTGGGCCTGTGCCCTGACTGGGGATCAGGCCTGAACCTTGGTGTATCGGGATGATGCTCTACCAACTGAGCTGCCCGGCCAGGGCATGGGTTTAATTACTCTTAGACCCACTTCGCAGTTCCTCATTTCAATGCCAGAATTTTTTTTTTTAAGATTTCATTTCTCACATAAAGCTGTCCATCTTGCTGTTTTCTTGAACATGCTAGTCTTAGTTCACGTCTAATTATTCCAGTAACAGTATGAAACAGGTGTTTATTGTTTTCTCTCGGGGCTTGGCTTGTTTGTTGTATTTAGCTTTTTCAAATAGAGACCTTGTCTGAAGTGAGGTTCTGGGTGGTGTCCTCCTCCAGGAGCCCCCACAAGGTCATCACCCCAGGGCTGGCCTGGCTTCCGGGGTGCCCTCTGCCTGGAGCTCCCATGGCACAGCCCAGGTGCCCGCCTGCTGCACAAGGCTCTGCCAGCTCCTCCCTGGTGCCCGCTTAGCGTGAGGCCCGACGCCAGGGGGTTCCTGCGCTTTCTGCTCTCTGGACTGAGCCCCAGGACCCCAGCTGCTCCTTCTTAGCCTGGCAAGATAGCTACCTCTTAGTGGTCTCTGCCTGGACCCCGCCTGCTCCGAGCTGGCGGATGCCGCTGGGCCCGGCGGCTCCCGGGTGGCCAGCTCACTCCCTGGCAGCCTGGTGGTCGCTCTCCCGTCTCCAGACGCGCCTGTGTCCTGTGGTCCCTGGCTTCTCCGGCTCTCGGGGCAGCTACCCTCCCCTGTCGTCCTGAGTATGTGGGGCGAGAGGAGCTCGGCTGCCGCCCCTGTGCGTTTCTCCGGGGAGGGCGTGCTCAGGGCACCGCTCTGCTGGAGAGCGGCGGGCGGCCCGTCC